GAATTGTGTACTTGTTGTTATTGAGATTGATTCCAAACTTCTTGTTGATTCTATGAATCATTGTCACATGCTCCTTGGAGACTACACATAATTTTGGTGAAGCTTGCATCTTTTGCTGATCAACAATGGAACATTGAACATGCTTATAGGGAGACCAATATGGCTGCCAACTCGCTAGCCAAAGCAGCAGCTTCTATTAATGAAGCAGCGGTGTGGCGTTCTAGTCCCCTAGATTTTGTAACGCTTTTTATTTTATATGATGTTGCTAGTATCCCCTTGCCAAGGGTCGCATAAAATATGTTCATGTAACATCTTTTCGTTTCTTAATAAAATCGGTACGGGCCCGATATCCCTACTGATTCACCCCAAAAAAAAAAAACAAGACAAACCAAGTCTCTTTAGACATACTTGAAGCCCATGCCCATGAAACTAGAGTGTAGAAAAAAAAGACAAGACAAACCAAGTCTCCTTAGACATACTTGAAGCCCATGCCCATGAAACTAGAGTGTAGACGACACCCTTGGGAATAGTCGGTTATAGGGTGTATATGCCTTTTGTTGTAGATATTCTTCTATTTTCTCTATATAATTTCTTTCTAAGGTCTATATGTAAAAACTCAAATCGAGGTGTTTGGACCCATTTAGAGATATGGTGCAAACTATAACAGGGATTGAAAGTTGTTAGAACCCTTCACAAACATAGGAAAAGAAGGAAAAATTTACATGTATTGGTTGTTCATAGTTGGCAAACTGACATACATATAAAAAGAAGGAAAAATTTACAAAAAGTAGTAATTTTATATTACAGAAGTGAGACCACCTGGAAAAAAAATTATAAAATTTATAATATAGAAGTAATGCTGCCTGAAAAACCCACTATAGGGGTTGTTTTGATGACGTAAAGTCCTCCAATTAATCATCTAAATCTTGCGATATATGAGTATGAGAGGAAAAAGAGATAATTTCAAGCCATGAAAATAATGGATCTTGTAACACATTATCTAAAGTGTCTATTTTCAAGTGTTATAGATATATTAGATCTATCCATTACTTGGAGCTCTAAATTTCATAATTAGGGTGAAAATGGATACTTTAGTCATCATCACAAGGCTTTTCAGCGTCACAATCTTTGGGCATAATTTAAAGGTGCGTTTTATTTTGATCGTTCAATGTTGCTAACTTGTACAAACCACACCAAAAAAAAAAAAAAAGGGTTGTTTACCGTTGGCACCTGGCATTATAAAGACCACAACAATTTTAGTTATTCAAAATTTTATTAAAAACTAAGATTTTTACTCAGCTCGTACACTGAAGACTAAATGTAAACTTTTCTTGAAGCATACAAATTATTAAAAAAATCGCACGTCAAGGGAAATCCCTCTGATTTCTTGAAGGTTGGAATGAAAATCACTTTGCATTTTCCTTGAAAATACACTGATGGTTTATTTTGATCTGTGCAAAAGAAAAGACGTGTAACATATGAGGAGCCGATAGATTTTTGAATGATTGAAACTAAGGGCAAGGAGCACAATGAAGGGTCCGTTTTGAAATTTCATTATCTGTTGTACATCTTGAGTGCTGGAAATAAAGAAATATTTATAGAGTGAGGAACTTTTTGAAAGAAAATTGTTTTTATACATATTTTTTTTATTGTATATATAATGGTGATACAATAGTGAAAGAATACAACTCATATATAATTTACATTGTCCGCACTTTCATGAATTTTATTATTCACATTTTTTTTCATGTGTTATTGTCATTGCCTTAAAAAAAAGGAACAATTGTTTTGTGCGGGCTCTGGACCGCTTAAGCGGTCCATAGGTATAAAGCATCCATCCCAAAGATAGATGTAAATAGGTGGCTCATCTTAAAAAAAGTGTAACTAACGGCCCAAATGTTTTCTAAATATAATTATTATTTTTAGTTTTTAAAAATTATTTATTTATTTTATATTCATGATCTCCATGTTAAAATATTATGTAAAAATTAGGAAAAAATTAAATTTCAAAAATATATTTATTGCCAAGCTCGCATTTCTACATGTGCAGGCTTGGTGCATGCTTACGGCGTCCAAAAAAACAAATGACAATATTTTTCCCCAGTGGCCTTTCCAAAAACTAAGAGTGCTTGATTTTGTTTCTATTAGGAAAGACATTGCAACCGTTCTTTATTGAGATATGGGGGGGTTGATGTGAAATTTTCTACAAAATCCTCCGTGCTCTTATTAATGTATTTCCCACGAAATCTTCATTTATTTTCATAGTTTTTGAGACAAATTTAATTTTCAGGATAGCCTTTTTTAATCTATAAATGGGGCATCTCCAATGATTAATGTCCAAATTAGGGATGGCTCTTGTCATTCCAATTTTTACGTATATTTAGGGAAATCACCCAACTACATAGGTGGAAAATTTATTCTCTGAAAATGAACCTTCAATCGTCTCTAAGAATTTTCAAGAATCCGTCTTCAAGGAAATGGCTCCTAGGCTTGAATACTAAAGTTACCGCACAGAATTATCATCAAGCTAAACATTGATTTTCCATTAATTTTGTAAACCTCCGGTTGCATATGATCGATGTAATTTCGTGCCAAATTAAGTTCTCAGCAAGTCCATTCAAGGCATGTGTATCTTCACCTGGAAAATTCGTGTGATTTGATGTCGGTGTTTTTTCAAACCAAATAGCTGCCAATTGGTGTGAAAAGAATGATTGCTATTAAAAAACTCTCGCATCTAATCACATAAAGAATTTTTTTGTTTTAGTAATTTTGAACAAACTAAAACAAGTGCTCTTACAGTAAGCCTAATTACTCAGCCTTAGCAAGTGGCTGAGGAAAGTTTCCGTATCCCACTCAAATACTTGTAAAAACATGCCTTTTCATTCTATGTCCTGCCTTTTTATTCTATGTCCCACTTGGTAGTGTATACCTTTAAAATCTTCAATATTTTTAGACACTTAAATACTACTATTCTATAGTGTAATAACTTTTTGTCAAAGGGTATTTTAAGTAATTAATCAAAGGTAAAATATAAAATTTTAATAAAAACAAAAATATTTATTAACAGTGGTGGACAATGACATCACTGTGTGAGACATCACCCTTTAGATGCATTATTAGTTTTTAAATTACTAATAAAATGCCATTATTTTCTTCTAGAAATATCTATTCTACTTTTCTAAATGACCAAAAAATGCGCCTACTTGAAAACTTTCGTATTACAATTCAAAAATATTTAAGTGTTCCAATATTATTGAGGACATGAGGGGTATATACTACCAAAGTAGTAGTAGCTAA